GAACAAGTTGTCATGTAATTAAACATTATGAATTCAGAAAATGGAGGTATCGCTCCACTATTATTTTACCTAGGCCCTCACGAGTTACGAGCAATTTAAGCCAAAGGAGAGAACGCACAAGAAGTGTTATGCCATGCGTACATTTTCTAATTTGTTGTTTACTTACATAAAACGGAGCCCAGAACTGGTTCTCAAAATAGTCAGCACTACACTTCACTCCGATAGAGCGGAGCAGGCCTCTCTGGCTGTACGTGCGCAGCCCGCTTGTCGGAAGCTCTTTATAATTTCTATCAGGCTACACGTGTTCGTGGAGCTCTCTTCATTGGCTCAATAAGTCTCTCTGGTCATCCCAGTCCTGTCAGGATCATTCAAGATAAACTTCCTAGCGGCAAGCATGAAGGCAGAGGTGGCCAGACGCACTACAAGCAGCTGCAGCATGGTCGAATGAGGTCAATGCTCCCTATTTTCAAGTTCCGCAAGTACAATTATAGACTCGTCACAATTAAACAGTCGGTATAGCGACGGGCAACTGGCCGGGTTCGATTTTCGGCAAGGCAAAATTTTTCTCTTCTCCACAGTGTCCAGACCCACCAGTCTCCTATTCAATAGGTACCAGGGGTGATTATCCCGGGGATGAAGCTGCAGAGGCGTGAAACTGACGGCTTACTTCCATTTAGCGCTGAGGTCAAGAACGGCGAAGCTAAACCTCACCACTCTCCCTCGTCCAAGGAGTCCAACCGTCTGTGTAATAGAGGTTACAAGACTGAAGAACAGACCACGGCCCTACAAAGGGCTGTAGAGTCATGGATTGGCCGCGCCATAGCTCAAGAGGTTAGTCGCTGGCTTCCCACCGCGGCGTCCCGGGTTCGATCCCGGGTCTGGTCAAGTGGGATTTGTGGTGGACAAAGTGGCGTTGGGACCGATTTTCTCCTAGTACTTCGGTTCCCCTGCCACTCTTCATTCCACAAATTGCTCCACAATCACCCTCACCTGTCATCTGGGGCTGGTACAATAGGCCAGAAGTTGCCGCAGTACAAGGGACTTAGTCCCACCGCAGTAGCATTAAAAAAAGGTAGTAACAGGTAAGGCCGGTCACGGTAGCCGAGCGGTCTAAGGCATGTACTGTCTTCGCTCGCTTGGAAACCGGGATCGTGGGTTCGAATCCCACCCAGGGCATAGATGTTTAGTTTGTGTGTGCGTTTTTCTGTGTCTGTGTACAGCTAGAGGCCTTGCGACGAGCTGATCACCCGCCCAAGGAGTCCTACCGATTGTGTAAGATCTAGAAAAACCGAAGTGAAAGGAGCAGTTAATGGAGGTAGGCGTAGGCCTACTGGAGCTGTAGTGCCAGGGGGGGGGAAGAAAAAACAATAGGTAAAATTGTCCTTGTACTTAACTAATTAGGCAGTACACCATGAAGGTGTATGGGGGAGTGGATGTATAGATCCATATTTTATTGACCTCAGCACTAAATAGAGGCGAATGGTCACCTTCATGCCCCGGTCGCTTTACACCCAGGGAAAGAGCCCCCGGCACCAACTGGATAGGAGGCTGGGTGAACCCCAGAGCCGGTCTGGACGACGTGGAGAAGAGAAAATTCTTGACCCAATCGGGACTTGAAATGAGACCCCTCCGTCGTCTACCCCCTAGCCAGTCGCTATACTATCCCGGCTCCTCTCCACGATACAGTGCTTAAATTAATTAAGCACAGGAAAAAGATACTTTTATTTTTACTTTTACCTATTTATATTGAACACCAGACGGCCTAAATACAATTACGTACAATTGGTTGCAAAAAGTCCGTTGAAACTGTAGGTACAAAAGTCAGATGGACAGGCGGAGATCAGGAGTCCATGAGAAGACATTTCGTCTATGGGACGATAAAACGTAGGGTAAAGTTGTCCCTACGCTTATTAATTAAGCACTACTCAATGAAGACGTATGGGGGAGTGGATGTATAGTTCCACATTTTCTTGACCTCGGCTTCACGCCCCTGCCACTTTACCCCCAGGGAAAGAGCGGCCGGCGCGTAAGGCTGACCTCACCGCCATCTGTAAGCCGAATGCCTTGAGAGAATGTGTGAGCCTCCCCGTCTCACAGCCCTACGCGCCTCCACGGCCTGTTAAAGGGATAGCTTTACGTTTTACCTTCTATGGGAACGAACATAGCCTAAGAAATGAGACGCAGCAAGGCAGCCGCTCAAACATGAGACAGGACCGTAACCTGTCACTGGCTTATCCAACCCCCGGGTTCAAACCTCGGCACGAGTAATTGTTGTTACCCTCACTTAAATTGTTCGTGGCTCTTCTCAGTCTCTTAAAGGCAAATACTGGGACATTAAAAGGTAAATAACTGGCGATATACATGAGACCCTTAGCCTCCTCGTAGAGATAGAGCTCCACCCTTCCTTAAACATCGGTATTAGATTAAGGGCAAGTGGACCGAGTCATGCCCCTGTCGAAAAAGTTGTGCTACCCAATGGACAGGAGGAGGCCAGAATAATGGGAGGGGGGGCATAAAGTTTCCTCTGCGCCTCTCAAATTATCACACCATGAAAATATATGGGAGAGTGGAGGCACAGCTCCATCATTACTCTCGGTACTAGATGGAGGTGGCCAGCTTCACGCTCCTGCTACTTTACCGCCCGGAGAACAGATCCCGGTATCCATTATATAGGAGGTTGATAAGGGCCCAAAGTCGGGTTAGGCGCTATGGAGAAGACAAAAATCTCTTAGCCAGAAATAGTACCCTACCCGTCCAGTCGATACCTGTAGCTATACCGACTGAGCTATCCGGCTCTTGTATTTACGGGTAGAGACAAAAAGCCAAGTCGATCAGCCAGAATTCGTCTGCCGAAACCGACGAAAATAATATCAGAATCTGAGATGTGGCCATTTCCAAACTGAAAGACTATTATCAGTTTACTTAAATATCTAATGTCTATCGGTGAGACTAAGGTGAAGAGGGCTCTCCTGTCTTCTCTACAGCGTCACAACTAGCTCTGAGGTCCGCTCGGGTCTCCTATCCAATGGATACCATTTTCGTTTCCACGGGAGTAAAACGGCAGGCGTGAGGATGAACTCTCACGTCCATCCGGTATCCGGGTTAAGAATGTGCGACGCTCACTCCTGCACGTCATCATGGCGCGGTGCCTACCCTTCATAGCCACCGCTGTGAGAACCACAGATTAATAACAACTGCTTGCACATTCTACGGGGAGAAACTCACCATTTTGAGCGTTTCCTCAGGTCGCAGGAGGTAGAACATGGACTGGAGGTGCTGCTGGATGTCGGAGCCACTCGCGCTCACACGCCGACCGTGGTGGCCACCGTTACTGCTTACGTTACTATTGTTGCCACTGTTACTGTTAGTACTGTTGCTGGCACAAGGGCGAAGTCGCTCGTTGGGCGGCAGTACCAGTGCGGCACCCTTCCCCGCGAAGTAGCACTCACTGAGACTGCAAAAGAAGGAAGAACACACCTGTTACAGGTCCACACTTATCTTCACTTGTGTATCATGATTGGTGGTATCTGGCCGTCAACACAACGATAAAAATAAAAATAAACCAATCGAACTGCTCACATTGGTTTTATTCGATAGTTGCTATAAGTTTCGATCCGCATATGGGACCAACTTCAGGTAGTCTCATAAGTCTCCTGTCCACACTGTAACCAGGAACAGGTGCGACATAAACGCCCATACAGAAGAAATACACAGTACACCATATTAAAAAAAACCATGACGACATAACCAACAAGATTAAGCGAGAACAAACAAGAAACGAATACGAATATCGTGAATAGCTTCTATAGCATATAGTACGTATAACAGCGACTACCTACAATGCGGGACGAAAACAACACAGAATTTTACATTCAATGACAAACAAAACAAATTCCGTGGCCTGTAGTCCGCAAGCGAACTATACCGACAGAGCGACCGCCTCTTGTCGGCGAAGTTAACGCCAACTATTGCGGACAGAGGGTGTCACGTGGTCAGTGCAACGAATCCCTACGGCCGTTAATCTCGGTTTTCCAGACCGCAGCCGCTATTTCCTTGCAATAGCTTCTCAATTATTCTTATGAGGCTGAGTGGACCCCGTTCCGGACCCACTACTTCTCAGAAAATCTGGTAGCGCCGGGAAGAGAACCCGCGACCTCTGGATCTGTAGCCAGGAACTCGGACCACTAGACCACAGAGACAGTCCATTCAAAGACATGAGAATTTAAATAATTTTAAAATTATAAATATTCCTGCAACTTCGTGACGGTTGCATTGTGATGAGTAGCCATAACACAGGCCAACAGCTGTTTTGGTGCCGGGGTATTTGGAGCTGATTTCATATGAATTTGATGCCCTGAATTCAAATATGGCATTAGTTTTTGCCTAGGAGCTCAAATTTTTAAGATATAACATTTTGGTGAAATATACGTTACACTATTTTAAGTTAAATCAGTGGATCAAATAAAAAAACTCAACATGGAATTTTTATTACTATATTATAATTATATTTTTAT